AAACGCCATTTTTTCCTGATCTGGGGGATGGAGAGGGATCTGGTGATATCCTGCTCAGGCATCCAGGAAGTCCATGCGTTCATATTCGGCAGTGGCATCCACTAGCTGGTCCACCTTTGGTAGGGGGTAGTCGTCCTTGGGACATGCCTTATTTAGATCTGTGAAGTCTACGCAAACACGCCATTTTCTCCCCTTCTTCTTTGCGCAAACCGTGTTAGACAGCCATTCTGGGAACTGTATCTCCCGAATGGCGTTGGCCTTCAGGAGTTTATCGATTTTTTCGTTGACCGCGCAAGCGTGATGCGGGGCCATGCGTCGTCGTGGCTTTTGTTTTATTGGCTTGTGCACCGGGTCAACATGCAGCTTGTGCGTGATTATCTCGGGGTCTACTCCCGTCATTTCCATTGCGTCCCAAGCGAACACGTCTGCATGTCTCCTTAGGAACTCAATCATCTCTTCCTGTTCGGCTGCGGGCATCGCGGTTCCAACTAAGAAGTATCTTTCTACTTCTTCCTCCACCAAGGGCACCTTCCGGAGGTCCTCCACCGACCGTTCCGTTGGGTCAATCCGGGGGTCATCCATTCCTGGACGCCCAGACTGTAATTGCTATTTTTCCATGATCTCTTCCGGAGCTCGCCCCTTTTCTTGGGTGAAAGCCCCGGCTTTAACAGCTGAATAAAAACAATTTTTTGCGGACGCTTGGTCCCCTCGGATCTCCATGATCCCCTCTGGCGTGGCAAATTTTAGTTTCTGGTGATAAGTGGAGTGCACCGCTCCCAGTGCATGCAGCCATGCTCGTCTCATGATCACATTGTAGGGAGAGTCCGCATCAATCACGACAAACTCGGTGTTGATGATGAAGGGACCTGTGACAACTGGCAATATGATTTTGTCTATGGGCAGGGCGAACGAGCCGTTGAAATCGATGAGGGGTGTCCTGACCTTGGTGAGGTCCTTGAGGCCAAGACCCATCCGTTTTAAAATGTCAGAGTACATCACTTTCGAGGAACTTTCAGAGTCTATCAACACCCTCTTGACGTCGAACTTACCTATCTTCAGGGTTAAGACAAGGGCGTCGTTATGAGGAGTCACCACACCTGTCAAGTCCGCGTCGGAGAACGTGATGCTGGACTTCTCAGTCCTGGCCCTTTTACTGGGTGGCCCCCCATCATCCTCGGCTATCTTCCTTGTAAAAGCTACCCTCTTGAGATCGAACTCGAGTTCCTTGGACGTGGGGCGATCTAGCGGACATACATGGATGACATCTATGACGTTGTCTGGCTCCTCGGTCGGGGCAGGGGTTTGTCTCTCTACCGTCCTGGGCTTTATGTATTCTTTCAAGTATCCGTCTCGGACCAATCTTTCCAAGAACGATTTGTATACCCTGCAGCTTTCGGTGCGATGTCCGAAATCCCGGTGATAGGAACACCTAACCTTTTGATCACGGGTGGAGGGATCACTCTGCATCCTGGGCGGCCACTTGAAGAATGGCTCATGTTTTATTTTATGGAGCAACTTGAAGATGGGTTCCTTGAACATAGTGTGAACTTCTTTGAACGACCCCCCCGGAGGGGGTAGCAGTCCCTTTCGGGGAATATCCTCCCGCTCCTTCTCTTTTCTCTTAGATTTGAGGGTTCGGCCTTTGCTGCTTCCCATCTCGTCCTCGATTCTTGAATACTTGTTTATCCGAGTCATCAGTTCGCCCATATCCGAGGGAGTCTTCTTGGTCAGGGATCGGTACAGGTCCGTGTCCCTTACCAAGCTGAGCCTGAAAGACGCCGCTACCATGACTTCCAAGCAACCCTCTACCTCATTAACCTCTTCCCAGTACCGGATGGCATATTGGCGAAAGGTCTCAGATTCCTTCTGTCTGAGCGTCAGTAATGATCCGATGACTTTAGGCCGCTTACTCCTCGTAATGAATCAGGCTAGGAACTTCCTCGTAAGCTCCTTCCATGATCCAATGCAGTTCGGGGGAAAAGCCTAGAACCACTTCATTGTGGAGTCCCCCAAGCTCATGGGAAACACTCGGCAGAGGAACCGTTGATCTGAATGATACAAGGACATCATTTGCTTGTACTGCCTGAGGTGGGCTTCGGGATCGGACCGTCCATCTTAAGTTTTGAACCTCGGTACGACAAATTTTTTTGGAACATCCATCTCTGTGATACCCCTGGTAATGGGTGATTGCATGACCTCGTATTCGGCATCATCCTGGACAGTCTTGTCATTTCTCTTGGATTCCAACCGAGCCCTGAGATCAATTTTCTCCCCAACGGGGTGTCTTCTGAAGTCTCCGAGTTGGTCAATGGGTCCCCCATTTCCTGGGCGTCGCGTGGATAGGGTTGAATCCTCCTCGGACCCATCTCCTTTCCTCCGTCTTGACAGTCCTCGTCGGAGGTCGTCCAGGGCTAAAGGCCTTGCCTTCCTGGAATGGTCATTAAGAGGGCGTTCGTTGGCTCTTGGTCGCTTTAGGGCCCTGGAGCTTTCTGCCTTGTTGTTTAAATGATTCCTTAGATCCTTCGTTTTCAGCTCCCGGGCGGGGAGCCCACGAGAAAGGAATGAGTCCCTCGACCCTTCGCCGGAGGCGACGAATTCGTTGAGCTGGCTTAGGACGTTCACATTATCCTTTTTCAACTGTCGTAATCGATCTCCAAACTTTTCTTCGATCACTTCCGCTAGTTGGCGAGCTAAGGGGGTGGTTCCTCTTGACCTGATGCCCATACTGATCTGAGGAGTAGACCCTCTTGACTGAATAGAGACATTTCTATTCCTATCAGTGTGATCCCTCCCTCCATGGTGACATGGAGCTTGTAATTCGAGGCTTCTTTGTTAGGGACCTTTCCCTTTTTATTGAGTATTCACCATGGTCACTGTTCTTTATAGAGAAGAAACTAGAAAAAAATTAGTCGTTTCCCACAGACGGCGCCAGATTGTGCGTGCTGGATCTTGCACAATATAAACGCGAGAACAGATCTCTCCCTTGGTGAACTCGAGTGGTCAACCCTGCTACTTGGAATAGCCTGTGAGGTCCGATGGTAACCTGGAATGGTAATGGGAGACCCTCGTGGATTAACGGAACGATCCAGTAAGACTGAGGAAGGTTCCTAGAACAAAGAAAGACAAGTTAGAAGGGCGTCGGAGTATTTTCCGGCGTATCCCCTCCGACGATCAAGTCAATTTTTTGAGAGAGAGGAAGAAGAAAACACTGAGTATAATTTTTAGCAAAGGTTTTTCGTTGCATACCGTCTTGCCTTTTGCGAGGAGTATTTATACCTTAAAAACTCATGATTGCTGTCAGTGTGGTCAGTAGGTGATCATTAGGTACAGGCAGTGTGTGCACGACTTCCTATGAGGAATGTCTTCTCTTTTAACTGCTCGGGATCCCGAGCAACCAAGGCTGTGTCATCGGCCTGCCGACTGTTCAATGAGCTCCTCTCGGGGAGGATGTAATAAATGTCCAGCCTTAGAGACATTTATTATCTTTCACTTCTGAGTTTTACCGCATTAAATGTTGTCTCATCAAGGGAATGGTGTAATTGAATGCTTGTTTTTCCAAGTCGTGTGTCAGCAAGGGCATCCGGTCTTTCTGTCTCTGATGTAACACAATATGTCACACGTCCATTCCCCATTGGCTGTGTTCCTTGCCTTCTTGAGCCTTCTGACACCAATTATGTAAGACGAGATCATGATGGCTAACCTAGCCTAGCCTAGGCTAGCGTCCTGTACATCAATAGCTCTGCGGGAGCAAAGAATGTCATTCTGGACGGTACTTCTCAGAACCGAGAAGGAGGTACACATAGGGACCGATGTACCATATTCCCCCCGACCGAGGGGTACGTGTCGGTACGTAAACGTACTGGATGTCATTGATCCCAACGACTAGTACCTCGGGAGAGAGGGACTTGTGAACCGATGGGTACGTGTCGTGATCACAGTAACAAGAATTTAGTGACACCGAGGACACGTGTCTTCATCTTAGAGTATTTTGGAAATGTCTCATCAATAATCCTGGATATTTGATCATTAACTTTAATAATTTATAACATTATCTGTCAAATTGGTACGAAACTAACATGATTTGAGTTCATCTTTAACATCTTTGGGCCATAATTAAATTGATTTGTTAAACTCATTAAATAAATAATTTAATGTATAAATTAAACAAATTTTAACACGATATAATTTATATGACTTAAACCTATTGAATATAAGGCTAATCACGCTTTGGTTTCTAAATTATACATGTTTTATTAATTTGGTCTCTAAAGTATCAATTTGATCTATAAAATATTTAATTTGTGTTTAAATGATATTTGCATAGATAGACCATTATATTTTTAATGAAATGATTATATGTTGAGTATGTGATCCCGTCTGAAAGAATGACACACAGTCATTTTTGTCAAAAAAAAAACTTAACGAATTGTATGATTAAGAATGAAAGGGGTACGAATTAAAATTTTAGGGACTAAGTTATTAAAATTAATACAATGAAAAATAAACGGATAAAATAAATATACTTTAAATTGAGGATTAAAGTGCTATTAATCCATAAATAAATCTCATTTTGGTGCCATACATGTCCGAGCCCCAAAAAAACAAAAGCAAAAGCAAAAAGAGGGAGAAAAGTGGAATTTGGGAAAAAATTGTGACCGCAGCTTACCGCCAAATGGTCACTGTTCCGGGCCCTCGGGAGTTGAACGGATTACAAAACGGACCGCGGACACTACTACCGTGCTGCTCAGTTCTCGCTCAACTTTCTCTCCCAACCTAACCGCCTCAGACAGAGAGAGAGAGAGATGAGTACGAAGAACTCATCATTTAAGGTTTGGCTCAAACTAATCGTGTACATTTTGAATTTTATCTTGAGACATTTGTTCGTAACCCGTGTATACATTAAGTTCTGTATTGTTTGCGTAATTTATATGTGTGTGTGTGTGTGGTTTTGGATGTTGGATTGTGATGCTTCATGAAAGATAATCTTGGGTTCGTCATCGATGGCTCGTCGTCAAATTCTAGCCGAGATGGGATATGAGTTCACATTCTTGGTATGTTCTCGTCGAAATATATAAATGTGAACGTTAAAAAGACATATAACGCTTGTTGTGGAGACTTTAGAAAATTATTTAATCCTGATTGTGGTTTAGACTGCAGACATTGACGAGAAAAGTGTTAGGAAGGAAAAGGCGGAGGAACTAGTAATGGCTCTAGCGGAGGCAAAGGAATGCTTTATGTCTTCTTTTAATCCATTATTAATTTGTTGTATGCTCCGAGTTATCCTTTGAATGGTTTTTTCATTAATTAACCCAGATGCTTATGAGACTCTTCCCTCACTATCAGTAATTTAGGAGATTAGGCGAGGAACAGAGCACAAAGGAATGCTTACCCAGTTTTTTACTAAGTTTTCCATCCCAAGTGATGTAGCATAATCTCCATAATTATTAATGGTATCCACTTGTTTCATAGGAAACTGGACCACATCACTTCGGATAGAAAACTTTGTGAGAAATCTTGATCAGCGTAGCAGTATTTCATAGCTGTGTCGAAGGAAATATGTATTACACCATTGAAAATTCATCTGAGTATGTACAATAGTTTCTTTATTACGAGAAAATTACCTAATTTATTCTTATTCATTTCAACTTTTTTTTTTCTTAGTACACTTTTTAATATATTCGAGCCTTCAAGTGAAGATGGTCGAAAAAATATCCACTTCTGCTCAAGTTATGGTTCATTTAGGTGGGATTAACAGTTTTCTTTACTAGGACATTATGTAAAAGCATTGAAACTTTTTCTGTTGACCTTCGGTTATCAAACTTTTGGAGCCATTTTCCTTTCACTACTTCTGCTTCATTCGAAGGTGATCCTTCATTACCCAGAAAAGATACTATTATTTGCACTTGAAACTCCTCAAGGTCTATTAAAATCAATTTCAACAGTTGTTTACTTGAATTTATGCACATTCTGAGTTGGGGATGTATTGAGAGATCATGGGATCATCTCTTCTTTGCAAATTATAGGCTTTTTGGTATTGGGTAATTCATGAGCAGAATCTAGTACTCCTTTTTTTTTTGTTCGGCTTAAAGGAGGTTTCGCAATTCTCTTGAACTTTTGTGGAAGTTGACATATGCCAAGTTTGTGATTAAGTGGAGTAAGAGCGGCAGGCCAGGTTTTTTTTTTTTAAATTCCCCAATTTTTTTAATATGATTTTGCTTTTTTCAGGCCTTTACATATTTTGTTATTGGTTTTCTATTTTGAGTCGCTAACTCCCCCTTACCCTTCTTTCTGGTTCAACATATTTTTGTTTTTTTACTTCTACCCTTTTTACACATGCAGAAACAGATGACACTCCCACACACACAAACACCCATGTGTAAATTCATGCAAAATATGAATAAATTATGGAACTTAAGACATTACAAGACTGGAGCCAGAAAAGTTATCAAGGTTACAATCTCAACTACTCTGCCTTTCTTCCATGCTCATATTAACCAACACAATTACTTATGCCACTTTATTTGTGTAATGACTAATACGACAATCCAGTGCTTTGGCATCATTGCTTTGGCTTTCAGAAAAATTAACCATCTGTTAAAGTATCCAAAAGTGTGTAAATTTTCTTTTGTAAAGCTGCTGTAAGTTGTGGCAATTTCTACTTGCTTTTCAAGCTTAGACACTGCACCCTTATTTTTCTGCCATTTATTGAACATATAGAACGAACAGAAATACGCGATATACTAAACAGAACCCATGGAAAAAATCTATGCATTTGAAGTCGGCTCTCCTGCTACCGGTTCTACATGCTCATCCATGATTTATGGTTTGGTTAGTTGCACTCTTTGGGACTGCGCAAACTATTTCGATTTTTATGCTAATTTTGTTTTTTTTTGTATCTGGATTCCATCACTGAATAGCAACTTACAGTGACTTCGATTGTGGTTAATGGAACAATGTTTTAGGCTGATGCCACCATATCAAGGCTCAAAATTACGGATCATACGGAGGAGAATGCTGAATCCACACTTTTAATTACTGCAGACACAGTATGCTTTATTTATCCCTTTTGTTATTACCTATTCTGAACATAAGTTTACCTAGTTTTATAGAAAATCAAGACATGGAGAACTTATGTAGCATCGATATCTGATGTCTCTCGTGCAGTAGGATTGTAAGAGTAAGTAAAGGGTGGAGTTCAGGGGATATGGCGTGATTCATGATGAAACGTTAATTCTTTGAACTACACAAGAGTTTTTCTATGATACATCGAGAAATACCAGTTGATAATTTGTCTCAAAACTCTTTGGGAAAAATTTGTATTGATACACTAGGATAATATCAAGTTTTTTGTTTACTGATGTTGGATATACTAGTTCATGGTAAAAAGATTAAGGAAAACTCATACACGTCAGTGAGTTTAGTCATTTCAACTGGACTAGAGCATTGCCTTCCCTATCAAGAGGAAAAGAAACAAAGTGAAAGAAGCACCACAGTAGATAAGATGACTTTATTCAGAATCCCAAAGCCACCAGCAACACTTGAATGAATTCAATAAGAATAAGCGTTAGAAACAGATTGATATTACTCTGAATTAGTAAACAACTTACAGGTCTTCTTTTTCGAAGGGTAACTTACAGTTCTTATTTTGCAGCCCCCACTTATTTGGGAAGTCAGTTAAGGAACTTGTTTCTTACTTCAACTTCCCTCCAAAGTGTAGTCTCTTTTTGAGAAAAAACTTTGTCACACATTGGTTGAGGAGAACTGGAGAAGTTATTTAATTGGTTTTTGTATGTAATCATTGTATGTGTATTTATTTATTTGGCACAAAAAGTAAGACACGCGTAGACTAGTGTGGCTAAGTTCAATGCATGCTCACATGTTGCACATGCGTAAAGCGCTTTAGGCGCACTTTGCACATACACATGGACGAGCCACATGAACATAGGTGCTGGTTTGACTGGTGCCTATTCAAATCTTTATAATTTTCTAATGTGTCTATTCAGAATAAATATAAATACATTCTATTGTGTTTTACAATGCAATTGTGCACTTAGCCCTATCCAGGGATTCATGGTTTCTGCCCAGTAGATGTCATTTTTCATGTGTGTTTGATCAATCCGATGATGCTGCACGCAAACGGCAAACCCTCCATGGAAATGATAGATTGTGATGGAAAATCTCCAGAAAAGGAAACAAACTTGGAGTTTATGGCTACCATCACTTCATTAATTGCTTTCCCTTCAAAACTTTTTGGTTGCATCTGTGGGGTTGTCTTTTAGCATGAGATGAAAGCTTCAGGGCAAATGATTTTAAGCAAACAAGGTGTAAGTATCCCCCTTAGCAGTGAATTCATTGACACCTCATATCAACTTGCTGGGTGTTTGTGTGTCAGTGGCCTTACTCCTCATATATCATCTGTCTCCTGGTTTAAGTGTGTGCTAATATCACAATTAGAGTTGAAGCAAACACCACTGAGATAGTAACTGTTAGGTTTTTTTCTTGGTTGGTATATAGATTGTGTCAGGTTATATCTTACCTACATCTAAATGGTTTTGAGGTAGTGGTTTATGATGGGACAATCAGAGAAAAACCATCCAGCAAGGAAGAAGCACGCCAGTTTATCAAAGGTTGTCTTAATAAGCTCTTCTGTTAACTCATTCTATTGCATGAATTGCTGGTTTAGGGATTGTATTTGTATTGTAGGCTATTCTGGTGGTCATGTCTCAGTTGTGGGATCTGTAATAGTGAGCAACCTTACAACGGGTGGCAGAAAAGGAGGATGGGGCAAGGCAGAGGTATTATTTTTAACACTGCTGTCTTATCTGCAGTCGTCTGAGTAATAATGAAAAATTTGAGCCCATGTGAGGTTGAGGGTGTATCAAAACAATATTGGCTTAGAATTAAGATGTTAAAAGGCTATTTTCCCTCCTTTGGTCTTCTTAGGTGAAGGTCATTTGATTTTGACTCCATGTGACTCACTATGCGTGGGATTGCTGATCCAATTCCTTTGAATTTCTTGCAATGCCTGTATGGTTAGAACAATAAGAGTATGTTACATCTATCTATAGGGTAGTTGCTATAAGTGATGGACAACTTCATCGGTCTGCTGAACTAGATCACAATGTGATTAATCCCATTTTCGCACTTTTCTCAGTTTCTTCTGGCAAAGGGACAAGGGGACATGTATCATTATTTCGCTAGAAGAAATACATATAGTGCATTTGATTTTTCTGAGGGCATAGCTTTTGTTAATTATGCCATGGCCGTGTAACACTCTGTCTTCATATTTGCCAAGATCCAACAATTCTAATTTGACATCTTAGTTGCACTGTGAACCGTTGTTTCCTGTTAGATTTTTTAGACATAATGGTTATATATTTGAATTGAGAGGGTAAATTACAGGTTTTCCTGTGTTGCAGGTCTATTTCCACGATATTCCAGATGAGGTCATTGATAGCCTGGTAATACATGCAAGAACATCACCATAATCTCTCTAATAATTCTTTATGTGCCTCTTTGCTCATGGTGATTTGTCCTCAGGTTGAGGAGGAAATTATGCTCAATGTCGCTGGGGATTTGATGCTTGAACATCCGCTGACATTGCCCTTCGTTGACACTGTGGTTAGCTCTCTCTCTCTCTCTGCATAGAGGGACAGGTTTGAGATATCACATATATGATGCATGGATGATCTATTCTGTCACAAGGGTTATTATTAAGCTCTTGTGTTGTGCCGCCCGGATCATGGGATATAATATGTGTTCTTATCATGCTCCCGCAGAAGTTATCAAGATCCTTACTAGTACTAATCTTGGTCTGCCCATTAATGCCGTGGCTGAAAAAAATTTGCCACGGCATTTAGCTTATTTCTTACAACACGCCGTATATATTGATATTATCCATCATGAGAGTCACTCTATTCCTTCTAATATAAGCATCCCTTGCCATTCTTCTGCAGGTAGGAACTGCTGGTAGTGTTATGGGACTTCCTAAAGCTCTCAGGGAGAATCTGATTCAGGAAGCCCTCTAGCTGCTGTAGTTGCACTAGTACTGTATTGGTGCCACATACATATACTGCAGTTTAGTCTATAAGCTCCTGAATACTTTTGCATTTGGGGTTTGCGGTCTTGGCTCAAATTTTGCCTCTCTGCCACTTATCAAATATACCCGCATTACTTCAATTTACTACGTATTCCGCCCTCACTTTATTGTTTATATATGTGATAGATATGAACCAATACAATATGATTATATATCAAGGGTTCAAGTGAAAATCTATAACAATAAGACACATGCATTTTTGAAATCCTAAAGTTAACTAAGCACAAGAGAGGTTAGGATTAATCTAACTCAAATTTATTTCAATCTGACGGTGTAATTTTTTTGCTGAGAATATATGGGATATATTTTCCTGTTTCTCTCTATTTTTTTGCAGCCCTACACACATAGAAAGATCCATGTTGCCCCCACACACAACAGCAACCCCCAATTTTACTAAATTATTTGTAGTTGTTGAATTAGTAGATTTTATCACTAATTTAATAGCTCAAGTTAATTTGGTACAATGGTGTATAAATTCCCTAACTGACCAAAAAAAAAAAAAAATCCCTTACAAAATAATCTAGCCACACCTAGTAACGCCTCTTTTCCCCTATTTTTTTTTTCTCTCTTTCTCGCCACAGCACTATCGTCGCCACCAACCAACACACCACCGTTGCCTTGATCCAATGACAACACGTCTCCTAGATCCACTCTAACTCCCTCTCACTGTGTCTCGCCTTCATCTCTGTCTTTCTCTTGCACCTCTCTGTCTTCACCTCTCTCCAGTCGCGCACCACAGTCGCGCACATCACGCACAGGCAGTGACACACACACACACACACCAACACAGCAACACACGCACAACACATATACACCCCCAGCACGCACACGGCAACAGACACACATAGAACACAACAGTACACGCACACAACATAGTCACATGTTCACACACTTACATTAATGTGTTTTGTTAATGTTAATTTGGGTGTTTCTTGTTAGTTTGGGTATTTTTTAGGGAATTGACTATTAATTTTTCTCTAATTTGGTGTTTAATGTTAAGATAATTTATTATTTTGGATATTTTGTAGGAAATCTCTCATTTCTGCCTCTCTCACGGACTCATCTGAAAATACAGATCACCTGTTTGTTAAAATGTTTAAACAAATTCGTTGAAATGTCTTTTTTTAGTTATAGTTGAAGAGTTACTTGACTTACAGTTTTAAATAATAACCATTTTGCAGCCTAACATTGTACATTTTAATTATGGAGTTTGTTTAGCATTAACACACATAATTAGGATAATCACCATGTAGTAGCCTGACATTTGGTTCAGGCAATGCACACAGGCGCTTTTTGTAGCTCCTCATCCTTTGGTTCCGTTCCCTCCTCTCTCTCTCTCTCTCTCTCTCTCTCTCTCCCCCCCCCCCCCCCCCCCCCCCCCCACCCCAACCAACTGTCAGCTCCCCTTGACTGTGTTAGCCATCACCGACCATCACAGCCACCGTCAAAACTCCGAGTGACTTCCCCCCTTTTTATCCTCTCTTTAATCTTCACTTTTTTTCAGTGTTTTTAAAACCCGGTCCGGCCTGACGGGTCAACCCGGTGAACCGGTTCCCAAATCGGACCGGGTCTATTAAAGACCGTTTATATACGAAACCCGAGATAAATCCGTTGAACCGGTGAGAACCAGACGAGTTTAGAAAACCAGCCGGTTTAATTTCATTTCGATAAATGTGAGAATTTTTTCAACTTTTTGGCATTTTCTATTTTTAATCCATTTGTTTTGCCCTAAATCGTTCCAGACTAGCAACCACAGCACCACTCCAGCACCACCAGCGATCAGTCTCCACTCCAGCAGTGATCAGGCAACGACCAACGACTGATGATCAACAGCGATCAGCCTCCACCACCAACGACTGACCAGCCTCCAATCCAGTGAGTTTCCCTCTCTCTCTCTCTCCCCCCCTTTTCTGTGTCTCTTTTGCGCTTCAATCCATGAAGGGAAGGTTGGGGATTCAAGTGGGAAGGTTGTGTCCGTCATGGATTGGTGGTTTTGATTCAAGTGGCTGTACAGATCTTTTTTTAGTTAATCTTTTATGTGTTTCAGTTTTTCTGTTTAATTTTGATTATGTAGTTGTCATTAATGGCACCCTCTTTGGTTTGAAACTTTCAAGTTCAGTAAGAATCAATAGTGTCAAGTGTGAAGACTTTGAAGACCTAAGGCCCAGGGTTCCTGATGTAATCCTGCAAAACCATTAAGTACTTTGGGATATAGGGACTTAATAGTTACAGAAATTCAAACTCTAAAATATAAGGGTATTGCAGTGAACTTGGATGTCATTGTCGATTTCTTTTGAACAACCACTGATATAGTCAGTCCATATTAATGCACTTTACACAAATTCATTGCCTATGTGATGTAAAAACACAACGACATGACTATTACCCGCAGCTTTGATACTTTGAATAGAGTTGTTTTTGCCTTTTGATGGATTTGGTTTGGCTGATTGTGGAAATTCCAACCAGCAGCTTGAGCATTGTTCAGAATAATATTTGTGGCTGATTGTGGTAATATTTGTATTTTCAAGTGGAACTTGGCAGTGATTGGATAATTTATTTTCAGTTTCGTTTATTTGAGTCTTTATGTTATGCTCATGTGTTTTGTTTTGTTTTCATGTGTCTTGCTTACTACAGTTTGAGTATGAAGTTTGAACTTTGAAGAGTGAAAATTACATGGATTATGCTTAAATTGATACATTGTGGAAGAGTTGGACTTAGACTTGGAGCCTTAAACTTCAATAGATGTATTTTTCTCTACTTAACTTTACAAGTTGTATTGAAAATTGAATACATTGAAATTGGATACATGTTTGATGATTTTTCTTTACTTAACTTTACATGTTTGATGTTATTTTTATAATTATTGGGATTTTTTAGCTTATTTATTGTTATTTATAATTATTTTTTAATTTTTTATTATATTACCGGTTCGACTAGTGACCCAACGGTTGAATCAGTGATCCATTGATCTGGTCCCTTCACCGAGTTAATGTCCGGACCGGGTTTTCAAACTATGTTTTTTTTCCTCCTCCATCTTCTCTTTCTTTCTACAATTGACCCCCACCACCCCCCACCTTGAACCAATGAACCCTAAGCCTATGCATCATCACCATTTGGCCTCTTACACATTGGAGCCACCACAATCCAGTCTCAGCCCCAAATCACCACCACGCACCACCACAGTCCGTTCCTGCCCTCTTCATTACCCTCACAACTCTTGAGCCTTTGCCAACCACCTCAAATCGCTACGACATGGCAAATTTGGATTCACCACCATGAACCAACTCACTGAAACCACCACCCACCCCTCAAAGCCCACAGACTAGTGTTTTAAAACCTGGCTCAGTCCGGCGGGTCAACCCGGTGAACCGGTCCCCTAACCAGTTCGGGTCTATTAAAAGACCGTTTGTATAAGGAACCCGGACTAAACCCGTTGAACCGGTCAAAAATCGGTAAACCTGTGAGAACCGGACGAGTTTAACAAACTGATCGATTTAATTTCCTTCCTATAAATCTAAGATTTTTTTTCATTTGGACATTTTTTCCCCCTTTGTTTTGCCCTAAATCGTTCACTTCCACCAGACGACACAATCGAGTCGACTGAGCAGCCTCGCAACGCCTCCACCACCAACCAGCGACCGGACTAGCCTCCACTTCAGCACTAACAGCGAGCAGACCACCAGTTGCCTTTCATCGATCGAGACCACTAGGCAGCAGCGGCTGAGTAGAGCTTCACCAGCGACTGAGCACAGCCTCCACCAGCGACGAGGTGAGTTCCCTCCCTTTCTCCCTCTCCCTCTCCATCCCTTTCTCTCGTTCAGTGACTGTAATTAGTCACTTTATTGAAAGTTCTCTTTCTAGGAAAGATGATTCACTTCTGGTTCTGGGTCTCTCTCAGAATCACCATTTTTGTATGTAAAAATACCTACTTTTTCCCCCCTCTTGATGTGATAAAGCCAAAGACCACCTCGTTGTCTTACTTTAGATTTTATTTTTTGTGGTTTTTAGATTACGCAGGTTGATTGATTTTATGTGTTTATTTTACAGACCAAGTGTTATATATGAAATTATTGTTGTTGATCTTGAAATGAAGAATTTTTCGTCCCTGTTTTGTATTTTTTTTGGTTTGTCATAGTCACTTGCAATCAGTTTCTTTTTTCTGGGCTTGTGTTTTTTAGTGTGCTTTTCGATTTTTTGGATTATGTAGAAGCCTAGGATTAACCCAGCTGATATATAACTGAATGTGTTGATTTTGCACTTTGAATGGTTGTCCATTTGATGTTTTGATCATCTTGGCACTAACAAAAAAAAAAAATTAGAATATGAGTTATGATGTAATTTTGATAATTTTATGAGTTATGATGCAATATGATTTGCAGAATTCTGATTTAAGTGTTTGATTATTTTACTAGCTGTGATGCAATCTGATTTACTGAAGCAATTTCAAGTTAGTTGATAATAGTGGTAATATTTGTATTTTCAAGTGGAGCTAAGCAATGGTTGGATGATTTATTTTCAGTTTTGTTTATTTGAGTCCTTATGTTATGCTCCCGTGCTTCGTTTTGTTTTCATGTGTCTTGCTTCCTACAGTTTGAGCTTGAAGTTTGAACTTTGAAGAGTGCAAATTATATGGATTATGCTTAGATTGATGTATTGTTGAAAAGTTAAACTTAGACTTGGAGTTTTGAATTTTAATAAGGGTATTTTTTTCTACTGAACTTTACAAGTTGTATTGAAAATTGAATACATTGAAATTAGATACATGTTTGATTTTTTTTTTTTACTTAACTTTACATGTTTGATGTTATTTTTATAATTATTGTGATTTTTTAGCCTATTTATTAGTATTTATAATTATTTTTTAATTTTTTATTATATTACCGGTCCGACCAGTGACCCAACGGTTGAACCAGTGACCCATTAACTCAG